CTGCCTGCGGCGGAGGAAGTGGGCAGCGGTCTCCCGGCAGCGCGATGGCGGAGCAGGACCCGCCGCCGGGCTCCTCCATGCTGCACAGGCTGCTCACCGAGACGGAGATGGAGGTGCTGCAGACGGACCGCGACCCGCAGCTGGACTGCAACGAGAACCTCAGCGCGGAGGGCAGGCCCCTTCCCGCGGGCGAGGGGGAGCAGGCCGACAGCCAGGGGGCGCCGCAGCGCCCCCAGGCGGGGCCGAGGGGGCATCAGTGCAGCCGCTGCGGTAAGAAGTTCAGCCGGCTGCCCCTCCTGAAGTCGCACCAGCTCACCCACGCGGGAGACGGCCCTTTCCACTGCGGGGCTTGTGGGAAGCACTTCCTGCAGTCGGCGCGGCTGCAGTCTCACCAGCAGCTCCACACTGGCAAGAAGCACTGACGCCCCCGCGCTGGCCTGCGCCGCGCTCCTGGGCCTGCTGGCGAACGGGACTTCAAGACCTGCCCTCGTGCACAGTCCACATGAGGACTTCAGGCGCAGAGCATTTTCTAAGGACCTGTTGGCGCAGGCAGGCGCGGCACTATAGGCGGCACAGTGGCGTGCAGCTTCCTCGGCGCCATCCCGTCACCCAGTCAGGGAAGAGAGCTGGATACACCACCCAATCAGGGAAGAGAACAGGACGCATCTTCCAGTCAGGGGAGAGAGCTAAATACACCACCCAATCAGGAAAGAGAACAGGACGCATCACCCAATTAGGGAAGAGAACAGGATGCACCACCCAATCAGGGGAGAGAGCTGGATACACCACCCAATCAGAGAAGAGAAAAAGATACACCCAATCAGGGAAGAGAACAGGATGCTCTTTCCCTTCGCAGAGGGGGAGTAATTCTGATTTTCCCTGATCGCTGTCCCTTATATATTCAACCAGACTGAGAAAGCTGAGCGAGGAAGGTGTGTGGGCCAATTCCTTCTGAGGATCTTTGTTTTCTAAGTCCTGTACTGAACTTCCTTGTTTCCAAGCAAAAAACCATACGTGGGGAAGGAGGACCGCCTGCGAGATGCAGTTTTTTTGTGCGTCCTTTTAAAAGCCATGGAGTCTTTGTTTCATATGAGCTGTGCTCTCTGTCCACTGTTCAGTCACGTTAGGCCAAAACCCTCCCCGCCTCTGCCAGAATTGACAAATATTGGACTGTATACCGCAAAAGATCGGTATTATCCTCCATCCTGTTTCATAGCATATGTAACGGTATCGAAGCTTGATGCAGGGTATTACTTTTAATCTTTGTGTTTTGTATTTTTTTAAAGAAGCACTCTCCTCTTTACAGCGACTCTTCACACAGCACGCTATCTGCCCCCCATCCTCAAAACCTGCTTCAATTATAACTCTTTTTCCTTCTTCTTATCCGAATGCAAAATCCGAACAGGTCTCCACTGCTGGGCGTCCCAGCAGTTTGTCTGTGTGTAGGGAGTTCTGGGGAGAGCAGGAGTCCCCCAGACTGGGGCACAGAGTCACCCTGAACGCAGCGTCTTTGAATCTGCCAGGGTATCGTCACCCTGCTGTATATAAATACAATATAGAACATAAGATAGGAGTCGCTCTGGCACAAAAATCACGTGTGTCACTGAGACTGCTGGAATCGTGCCTGGCCAGGAGTATTCCTGATTTCCAACTCCTTAACACTGATGTGCTCGAATCCTTGCTTTCAGATCCTGCATCTGTGGGAAGAGATTACTCCAGTAGCTCCCAGCATCGTTATTCCACTTTGTGTGGAAGTCTCCCTGAAGGTGTTTTGGACAGTGTATTTTGTAAGGACTGATGAAACCACACTCCTCTACAGTGTTGCTGGGTTTGCTGATTATGTAATTAAGGTACCACATTTACTAAATTAATGTGATCTAAATGCGTGAGATTTTAAGATAGATTTTATTCTGACCAGCTCGTGGAGCAAAAAAAAAAACTTTTTTTTTTCTTATTACAACTAACATGAATAAAACTTTTTAATAACAATTGTTGGGATTAAGTGTGTTAAACTGCCTGTCGGAAGACAGGTCACAAACGAGGAGAGGCCATTCAACCCATCCTCCCAGTTTAATAGTAGTTAATTGAATCCAGGATCTCATCCAGCTGTTGCATGAGAGAAGTCAGGGTGTTGGCTCAACAACATGGCTGGGCAGCTTGTTCCACACTCCCACCCCCTTGGTGTAAAGAACTATCTCCTAGGTTTGAAATGCACTTCCCTGTGTCCTCAGGTTTCACTTCCCCCTTTCTGTCATTTATTTCCATTAAAAAAATGCCCTCCTTTTTGAATCTGCGGCGTAGTACTTCGGTTGTTGTGTTTTAAAACCATCAGCTATCCAAACCCTTTACAGTTATAATCTGATCCCCTGTGTTTGGGAGAATTTGAGAGTTGGATTTGACAATCACCTCCTTCCTGGAAATAAGATCACGGACAAGATTCCTTACTTTCCCACAGTGAAATGCGAATAGTTAAAGGAATAAAACCATTTCATATAGGAGATAATCCCCATTTCACAATAATCAATAACAATTTAATAGGTGTTTCGGTCTGGTCTGATCTACGAGTCATTTGCAACAAAATAATGAGCTTTGAAAGGGGAAGGTTTGACAGCTGTACCTGGAAATGAGGTTTTAAATATCTTCTCCAGCTGGTGGGAAATTAGGAGCAGACATGGGCTGGATTCTATGAATCTGCTGCCGAGCGTGTAGCCTGTGGAATAAGGAATAAAATCCATACAACAGAATGGGCCAGAACGTAGTTTTGTTCCCATGCCGTGAACTGGATGGAGGGGGTTATGTTCTGTAATGATGGTAACTATTTGAAGATGATAATAGTGATGGTCATGACGAGGAAGATAATGAATGTGACGGTGATGGTCATGATGATGATGGTGCTGATGATGAAGATGATGACGGTGACGTGGTCATGATGACGATAACAATGATGATGGTGATGGTCATGATGAAGATAGGAATGGTGATGGTGATAGTGCTGATGGTGTTGGTCATGATGATGATGGTGCTGATGATGAAGATGATGACAGTGACGTGGTCATGATGAAGATGACAATGGTGATGGTGATAGTGCTGATGGTAATAGTTATGATGATGGTGGTGCTGATGTGCAAATGATGATGGTGATGGTCATGATGATAAAGGTTATGATGGTGATTACAGTGATGATGTTGACTTCCGCTCCACTGACATTGTGACAATGCTCCTTCCGAAAGTCAACCACAGTGTATGAACCAGAGAACAAGACAGCAAATTGTGGGGAAGTGCATTCAGAACTGAGAACAAGAGGCACTTTTTTACACGAAGGGTGGGGGGAGTGTGGAACAAGCAGCCATGTTGTTCCTCGCTTCTTTCAAGACACAGCTGGATTAGATTAGCTACTGAAAAAAAAACAATAAGTCACATGGGCCAAATGTTCCCCCTTGTATGGAATCGTTTTGAGTTCCTGAGTGGAAACACATGGATTCTCGCACAAGATTACAGACACAGGCAGGATATAGAGGAGGGGTGAGGGTGCTGTTTATCAAATCGTTAGAAGACGGTTTAGGTGTGGCTCAGAGCTGTGGTTTTCTTCCAGTAACCACTCTCACGCAAACTAATTTCAGTATCAGTGGGAAAAAGCCAAACCACTGTCAATCAACTGTGCAATTCATATGGGCTTGCTGCATTTGCCTTTAAAAAATAAAACATTATTATTGTCTTGTGAGATTTACTCAGCTCATGCTTCTTTACAGTTAGAATTCTTTGGGTTGCCAGGAGGAAATTCAGTGTATTATTAATACAATTTAAAATTACTGGCACCATGCATTGAGTGATCAGTAGAGTGTAGATCTCAGTGTGAACAGGAGTGTGGAGGAGGTGATCAGGGGACTGTAGATCTCCAGGTGTCAGTGTGAACAGGAGTGTGGAGGAGGTGATCAGTACTGTA